TTTTTTCAAAACTTTCTTTTTACATAATTTAAGTTTGAACAACTGTGGGGACGGAAGAAGTGTCGAGAGAAAAAAAAAAGAAAAAAGAAGAATAAATAATTTTGAAAATAATCTTTATACCAAAATTGAGACGAATAAAATTCCATACGTACGCATACATAGAAATAATTTATAAAAGAACGACGATCACGTTTACATATTTTTGCAGGATATTGCAAAATTCGGTTGTAATTATTGTAAAGAGAAAAAAAAAAAAGAAAAGAAGTTTTATCGAATATCGATGGGTTTTTTTTTTAGAGAAAACGGAGACACGGAGATCATGGATCGTTGCTATCACGTGCTATCACAGAAGGAACAATGATGATTCTTTTTGGTCCTTGAAAGAAACGAAACGATTTGAACTTTGCCCTCCCCCACCCTCCACCCCTTCTGTATACGTCGTCGCGTTAATTCGCATCGACCCAGTTTCTCCTTCTCGCGAACTCATCATGGAATCGCTACGACTCTGGGAATATAAAAAAAAAAAAAAACAAGAAAAGAAAAATAGAAAAAGAAAAACAAGAAAAAGAAATTCCGATCGCTTACGAGTAGGAGATAAAGTAGCGAGTAAAAAAAAAATCAGAGAGAGAGAGAGAACATCATACGAGTGTTCTTTTTTTTCTAAAGAGAGTGATTTTATTTTTCCCTATCAAAAAAGGAACAAAAAGAAGTTTGTTCGTTTAGTTCGAGTTTACGAGATCGAAATGAATCCTCTATAACATAATTATTCATTTTTAATATTATATATTCGTGAAAATGATGTTATTATTTATACATGTAATGCATTGAGTAACTTAATTGTATAACAACATTCGTTTGATTATATTTTATTTGTATAATAGATATAAATTATATTGTAATAAAAGTAATAATATAGCTGTCATAATTTCTATATTAAGAATTAAAATATGATATTAATAAATATTATGCATTAATACTAATTTGAATATTATATAACTAAAAGTAATGCTATATTAATATTAAATAATTTAATGAAACATATTAATTAGTATAATATAACGCGCGTACAAAATATTATATTTATAACGAAAAAGTTGTGCAATAATTTTATGATTATTAAATAAAATCAAACGTAATATTGTAATTTTATTGTAAAATAACAGTTATAGAGGATTAATTATAAAAAGATTCAAAAAAATAAATATTAAATCATGAGATATAATGATCGATTTTTAAGACATCAAAATATTAAAGGTAGTCTTGTATTAACTTAAGGATACCATCTTACTTGTTCGGTGTAATGATCTAATAAAAAAATAGAAGATCTTAGGTGAACATAATACTACAACAACCGATAACTAATGGCATCGAAAGACAATAATCCTCTCTCGGAGAATCCCACCAAGAATCGATTCGAAAGTTTTATCGAGCACGTCCACGCCCACCTGGCCTTAGAAAAGTAAAGAGAAAGAGAGAGAAGAATCCTATTTAAATTATTACACCTATGCGATATGTATATATATATATGTAATGTTAATCTCTCAGACCGTACAAGTAGGTGTTTCATAATAAAGATAATAATATATTACACGAAACACGTAATATGTTATATTATCGTTACAAAATGTTCATAATATAAAAGCATAGATTGTTGTATCTGTTATTTATCGATTTTTAATTTAGAGTTCTGCACCGATTACAAATTTGCTATCACATATTATGAAACACCTTATATAAATATAAATATATATATATTAGATGTAGCAATTAATTCGGTGCTTTTTACAACAAATTTAATATTTGTTTTTATTTTTCTTTTTTTTTGTATTTTCTTTAACGAGAAGAAGATGACGATTTTAATGTAAACGAATTTAATATCAAAGCATTGAAAATTATTGCAACACTTAATATAAATATATATATGAGTGTTCGACAAAAAGTTGGGACCAAACTTATACTACGTATTACACGAATAAAATATTTTCAATAACTTTATAAAAATATTTTTAATCTCAATAATACGTAGTATAAAGTTTGGTCCCAACTTTTGTGGGACATTCTGTATTATATCTACATAGCATATATTCTATATATATATATATATAGAATATACAATTTTCTTTGATAGAAATATTTTCTAATCTATTTCTTTAGCATCAACTTTTTTCTCTCTTTCCTCTAACTCATCCGCATTTTGGCTTTAAACGCAACGAAAGAATATATATATATATATATTATATATACACATACACATAAAAACAGAGAAGCGTATAATACGCGTACACGTTGCAACATTGATCCAAAATTGGAACACACGAAATTACAGTGGGCCTTCGCTGATATATCATCGATCCATCCTCCTTTGACGTATCCATCGTCAACGCATTGTTATCTCTCTGTTATGGAAACGCTAAATTGGAATATGCTTTAAATTATGTTTGTCGCTTGTCTTGCGTTAGTTCATTTTGTACCGCTTGATAGATACATAAGCAGCATGGCATACGTTGAATGATCACAGAACAGAATGAGTGTGAGTGTATATGTATGTATGTGTGTGTGTGTGTGTGTGTGTGTCCAGTATCCAGGAAGATTGGAACGCCAAGCTTAATCTTTTATTAGAGCTGATTGATCTAAAGCTTTGCTAAAGTACACAGATAATAGCGCACGACTTTTATGTATCTATGTATGTATATATAATATCTACACATCTATATCTATACGAGTTATCAATCTCTGGTAATTTTCTTTTTTCCAATTTTTGTTTTTTGGTTTCTTTTTCTTTTTTTTTTTCCCCCTCTAATTATTACAAACAAAGGATAGGAGCATGTCAAAACAAAATGCAAGTAAAGATAATCATTTGGTTTCTCAATTTGATATCGTCTGTCACATCGATTCCGATGACCGAATTCGGTCAAAAGGTATTTTTAATACGACATATATATATATATATAGGGTTTACGTAAAATCCGATAAGACTTTTGATATTTAATAGGTAATAATATTTTATCATTGAAAAAAGTGTTAATGGATTTTTTGCGTAAACTTTTTTGTTTACCCTATTATATCATGTAGTTGAATATTATTTTCTTTATTTTTTCTTTTTTTTTTTCTTTAGATCTTTCTCCGTAGGATCAAAATAATATTTTTGATTATTAGACATTAATTATTATTACTATTTTTGCATCGATAAACCAAATATTTGTCTGTAATCTAATATATTATCTCGATTGGTACGCAGAAACACCACTATGGCTACTTCTACAAATAGCGCCGATCAAAAACGAACGAGACTTGGTTGTCCTGTTCCTGTTAACCTTCCGGGACATCACAGCGTTGAAGCAGCCCATCGAGACGGACGACAGCAAGGGTGGCCTTTCAAAATTTGCCAAACTCGCAAGATCGGTTACCAGATCGAGATCGGTTCTTGTTTCGCAGTTCAGCTCCCACCTTCCGGCTCTGAAGGATTCTGCTTTACCAACCACGGCCAAACAATCGCATCTAGCTCATGTAAGTTGTTCAATCTTGAATATTTATAATATCCTATGAATTTATTATTGAATTTTTAATAGATTCGTGATATGATTACTCACAAAAATATTTGTACATTATAGTATGATTACATTTTTAATTTTATATTTCAACAATCGGTGTCTGGTTATTGTTTCTAACAATAGATTAATTTATTAACATATGGAATTTATTATTGAATATTATTAATAAAAAAATCGTGTTTTACATACGTATACATTTTTACGTATTAAAAATCATATCTAATTATTATAACTTTCAGATGATGTCATTGAGCGGAGATGTAATGCCACAGTACAGACAGGAAGCACCAAAGACTCCACCGCATATTTTATTACACTATTGTGCGTTCAAAGCGATCTGGGATTGGATTATTTTGTGCTTGACATTTTACACAGCTATTATGGTTCCGTACAATGTTGCCTTCAAAAATAAAACCAGCGAGGATGTATCACTTTTGGTACTCGACAGTATAGTCGATGTCATATTCTTTATAGATATAGTATTAAATTTTCATACTACGTTCGTTGGGGCTGGTGGTGAAGTTGTGTCCGATCCAAAAGTAATTACAATTTAATTTTAATTCTTTTTTCTTTTTTTTTCTTTCTAATTCTATTTGTCCATTCCAAATGATTGTTGTAATGATATATTCATAAATGAAATCATAGGTGATCAGGATGAATTATCTGAAGTCTTGGTTCATCATCGATCTATTGAGCTGCCTACCCTACGACGTGTTCAACGCGTTCGATCACGACGAGGATGGCATAGGTAGTCTCTTCTCTGCTTTGAAAGTCGTCCGTTTACTTCGTCTTGGAAGAGTCGTTCGCAAACTCGATCGGTATCTGGAGTATGGAGCCGCCATGCTCATTCTTCTCCTCTGTTTCTACATGTTGGTTGCTCACTGGCTGGCCTGTATCTGGTACGTCACATTAAGGTGATTTTACTCTGCGTACACACTTTCAAGGTAACACATCTTGATGGGAAGATTGGCTGCATATATCACATACGTAAAAAAAAAAAACACAAACACAAACACTATACAACACATTAAATCGTGCATTATTATCGCAGTTTATTGCTATGTTTCATTTAAATTGCTTCGCGTTTATTTGCACGTTTTTTTATATATAAGTTTTCCTAATTGTAATATATTAAAAGGAGCGCTAAAATCAGTTGAAAAAAAAAAAATAGCTAATATATTATAGTATATTTTTATATTAATGAAAAAACGCGCGCTTTGTCGTATTTTCATCATTGCCATCGTCATTCGTGATATTTTGTGTAAGCAGCATGCGAAAATCATGCTTTTCGAAAAGTAACGATAAACTCTTGACAAATTGATAAACAAAGCCGAAGACGCATTTTCTTCTTTTAGATTTAGAGGATTCCACTTTTTTTTTTTGTAGCTGATATTCGAAAGAGAGATTTACTCTACTTTTTGTTTTTTTAATTTTATATATTTCTTTTTCAAAACTCGATTGGACGTCCAAATTTTCTTGTAAGAAATGTCATTGCGTTGAAGGTATTCGATAGGAAGATCGGATGCTGACAACGGAGTTCAATATTCATGGCTGTGGAAGTTGGCCAATGTTACCCAGTCACCATACAGCTACTTGTGGACCAATGCCAGCACTGCACCAGAACTAGTAGCTGGACCATCACGCCGCACGATGTATGTCACTGCTCTTTATTTCACGATGACTTGCATGACTTCCGTCGGCTTTGGAAACGTCGCAGCAGAAACAGATAATGAGAAGATCTTTACTATCTGCATGATGATCATTGCCGGTATGGAATTATAATAAGGATTATATGATTTTAAACGTACGTACATTAATTAAATCAAAATTCATATAATGATTAATCTCTCTTAATTAGCCTTGCTGTACGCTACGATATTTGGTCACGTTACCACCATTATTCAACAAATGACATCAGCCACCGCCAAATATCATGACATGCTAAACAACGTCCGGGAATTCATGAAACTCCATGAAGTACCTAAGGCACTTAGCGAACGTGTCATGGATTATGTAGTAAGTACATGGGCAATGACCAAAGGTCTAGATACAGACAAGGTGCTTAATTACTGCCCCAAAGATATGAAAGCTGATATTTGCGTACATCTTAATCGGAAAGTTTTCAATGAACATCCTGCTTTCAGGTAGGCACATTATATTACAATTCATTAGTTTTAATAGATCTTTATAGATTAATCACACAAATTTTTGAGAATTAATTAATAATGATATATTATTATCAATGTCCAGGTTGGCATCCGATGGATGCTTACGTGCTTTAGCAATGCATTTTACAATGTCGCACAGTGCACCTGGTGATCTGCTCTATCACACAGGTGAATCTATCGACTCGCTGTGCTTCATCGTCACTGGAAGCCTAGAAGTGATACAAGACGATGAGGTAGTAGCAATTCTTGGAAAAGGGGATGTCTTTGGAGATAGCTTTTGGACGAACCCGTCGATTGGGCAAAGCGCAGCTAACGTTAGAGCACTTACTTATTGTGACCTTCATACCATTAAGCGTGATCGACTGTTAGAAGTTTTGGATTTTTATCAAGCCTTCGCAAACTCCTTCGCCAGAAATCTTGTATTAACGTACAATTTAAGCAATCGGGTGAGTTCTCATTCTAATTCATTAATTTTCTTTTTATTCTTTCAATTCTTATTTACATAACATGCACAAGAAATGTACTAAACGATTGGAACAAAAGTTTTTACACTTTTTTTCAGTATTTTATTGAATTCACATCACGTTCGATAACAATGTGATAAATTTCTTTGTTTTTCTTTTTTTTTTCTTTAGATATGAATGAACAATTGTTCTTTTTTTTCGTGTTATGCATTTTTAACACGCATTGTATACATATTATACATCTGTGATTAGCAATTTGCGAGGAAATCTTTACATTGACTAGTAGTTACGAAACACACCTTCATGATCATTGATTTCAAATGATCAGGCACTATATAATAGGCATGTAAATTACTGCGTATTTTATGGCTTTCTCAACATCAAAACGCAGTGTTTAATATACATATTATACAACATTCAGATGATATATATATATATATATTAAAAGAGATCAGGCCGTCTGGTAACGATACTTTGTCATACACTCGATAAAATAGGTACACAATAAAGAAATGTACAAACTCATTTGACATAGTAACATATATAATGAGTAACTACTATATCACTTAAACATTATACATGGACAATATATAATACAGACATGATAGACAAAAACGATCGTTTCTCAATATAATTTAGTTGATAACAAAATTTTCCATAAAGTGATATCACAAGCAAGAATATCTGATTCATTAACATACGTATGCATTCCAATTAGTAAATATTTCTCGGTTCGGAACATAGATCGTTTTTATTGCACTCTCAAATTAATTTGCTACTATAGTTGTTCATCGGTAAAATATAAAACTAAATATTCACTTTATTATTAGTTCTTATATTTTGCTTTTAAGCACCCATAAAATTATCTCCTTCATTATATATATTATATATATAATCTCAATTGCTCTTAATTTTCAATAAATCTCCATTTCAATTAACAATTTCAATGACAACCATATAATATACTTAATAATATAACATGAGTCTTATACAATAATCATTAAATATTAAAGTTTAATTAGTCTTTTTTATCTCTAATTCCTTCGCTATACATTTTACGTCCATGAAGTTCCATCAATACTTTAGCTGTAGCATCTTGATCTAAAACAGATTTATTTTCTCGTACGTCTTCTTCTACGATTGGTATTGGACCAACACCCCATACTTCACAATGTTTGATTTTAAAATTTTCTTGACCACTTAATTGCACATAATTTTGAAATGTTGTGCAGGATATACTTGATATACCAGTCCCATACTCACAATCTATCCATAAGCCTGGATAATTTAATTGTCCACCCATAAGCAAACCATTAGGCATAGTTTGTTGATTAATATTCAAATATTGATAATGATTATTGTAACCTGTAGAAGGAAACGTTAAAATATCTGGCTCGAGTTTTAATAAAAAGCACGTCTGATTTCCTATAAAATTTGGTCCTATTCTCCAACTATCTGGAGCAAATCCACCAAATACATGATCATCTGTATCTTGTAATATAATAATTGTTGCACCTTGCATAGTTATTCTTCCTAACATAGTGGAAAATGATTCTCCGTGTACTTGACTGGAAAATAAGAATCTCCATTCTTTTCTGAGTTCGTGAGGTAAACTTAAATTTAGGAACAAAACGTCGCCAAGCCCCAGAATACTTGGAAAATGAGGAATATTTTCCAGACCTTTACAAACAGGTAATAGGTTTAAGTCATTAATTCGTGCACTCGTATTCTTATCTCCTTTCTTCTGAGTAACTAAGAAAAGGCACTGAAATACGTGTGATTGAATATTTTTAAACGTAGCAGCTGCACCGAACCAATTTTCTATTTGATCAATCGTCAACACATCACCGTATTTGATAATATCTTCGCACAGACTTCGCGAACGCATATTAATACGTCTATTATTCACAGTACAACCGATACTACTCCATGAAAGATAATGCAAATTAACAGCATTCTTTTGCAGTCTTAAATATGAATTTATCGTAGCTTGAATATATTGGAGAAATGTGGCAGTAGGTATTTCATATTTTCGCTCTTCTTCGGAAAATCCTTCAAATATCAAATCAGTACGTTCACCTGCGCTTCCACGTACTGCATAAACATATAAGCGACCAAAATTTTCTCCATTTACAGCTGATACTTTTTTGCCAGGCTCGTAGCAAAGAAACCTTACGACAAATTGTAATAGTACATCATCCAAATGCATCGACCAGTGTTTAAAAATATCTTCACGTTTTATAGAACCTGAACTCCTAGACATTGATTTAAAAAGATTGTCCACCAATGTTAATTCATCTGCGGATAAAATATTTGCAGAAGAAGCGGAACGACTTGATCCATGACCCATCTAAAAACACCAATGATATAAGATACGTTTATGTTCCTCCTCTATTGGATCAGAATTTTGTTTATTTTCAACTATCATATATTTATGTAAATTAACTATTTCATATTACATTTATAAAAAAGAAAAACTAATATAAGAAAAAAACAATATGCAAGTAAACAATTTAAATGGCTCAAAAAGCTTATTGTTAGTTAATTTACGCGGTTTTCTTTTTTCAAATTAATTCTCCCTCCTAAAAATCCACTGCAATCTTCAGAGTGCAAGCAAAAAATATATGACACTACTACTATTCACTATTACAAATGCATCAAACACTTTAAAGAAAACCCATCTATCCTATCATAAAATCTAGACGCTTTTATCTCTAAGTATTCTCATAAATATAAGCATCGTAAAATCATTTGAGTAGAAAATCGACAATAGAAGTTTCAATTTCGTCGATCGTACGACGATCGTCTTTTTAAAAGAAATAAAAAGTAGTATAAAATCGGGGGTGGGAGAAAAAAACTTCTCTCATTGATTTCAAAAGAAAAACAAAAACCAAGAGACAAATATCGAACATATAAACCGAATAAAGATACGAACCTTTCAAACGAATGTTATCTTCTATACGACGAGCCATAAAATTTTCTCTGCACTTATATTCGGTCAACGCGAGCCAGAAAAATATAAAACACAAAGAAATAACAAAATTTGTTAAAAACAAAACAAAAAAAAATTAAAAAGAAAATCAGTAAAAAATTTGAATTTTCAGTTTTAATATTCTCAATTAAAATCCAATTGTGTCGTATTCACGATTAAATTCGCTTATACCTTGTAAGAAAGATTAACACGTCGACGAGTTGAAGTAATAAATGTTAAAGCGGTGCGAATGTTTTTTATTTTGAGGTTAAGACAACGTAACGCAATGTCGATTACGAGAACTGTGTGCCGTTACTTGTGCGCCTATCGACTAAAGTCACGGCGCATGCACCGACGCAACCCCGGGCCTGAAGACTAAGATTTTATCTATTTTCTTTTCGCGTGTTTCGCGCAATATCCCATTTATGTAAACATACTAAAACCCTTAGAAGCGCACTGTGTTATTGTTATATCTTCTTCTTTACTTCTCTCTCTCTTTCTCTCTCTCTCTCTCTCTCTCTCTCTTACTCTCCCTCTTTTATGGAGAAAAGTTTTCTCGGATGCTGTTTTTTTTTTCACGAACGATTATTCCTACCGGAAAATTATTTTCCGTTCGTTAAACTCTCATTTGTATTTACTCACCATTTAAAATAATTATTTCTTCTTATTTTATTTTTGTTCAAATGTTGTTACCATTTCAACTATACATCGAGTAAAGAAGTACACCCCCCATATAATTAAACATTCGTATCGTTCCTTAATAACATTCTATCTGCTATGCTGTTAAACATTTGCAAGGTTATGTAATATTTCTTTTTCGCGGGAAAAAAAGAAAGTAATATATATATATATATGTATATAAAATAAAAAACGAGATCAAACTGATTTTATTTTTGTCATACTTGATCGTACTCTCTTAAAGCTCTTATAAAGGAAATTAGAAGCGTTTTTATAAGATCGATTGTGCGTGCATGTAAAGAACTTATTTTCATAATATTTCACCGATAATGATGGTGGTGATGTAAAATAGAGCGGAATAAATGAATTGCGTTAACTCTTTCATTGTTAAGATTGATAAATAATATTTAAATATCTTATTAAAAAGTAATAAACAACGAATAAATGATCAATGTAGTTCGATCAGTAATAAAACAATACCTAGATCGTTTATACTCACGTGAACTTTATATACTGATAAAAGAATCGATAATTTTTGTTTGTGCAGCTGATCTTTCGAAAAGTGGCCGACGTGCGTCGTGAAAAGGAGCTTGCTGAAAGACGAAAAAATGAGCCACAGTTGGATCAAGCTCAGGATCATTTAGTTCGCAAAATTTTTTCGAGGTAAGACCACAATGAAAAGAAAGGAAAAAAAAAAAGAAAGAAAGAAAGAAAGAACACGTGTTATTATTTCCTTTAGACAAAACATATATTTTCCTAAAATATTGTCGTATATATTGTATCATGGCGGCCGCCATTTTTGCCCTCGTGTTCGTCGATTTAAAATGAAATTGGCGCGAGAATATGATCGTTAAAATTAGACGGTATCAGGGCACATGCGTTTACCAAAATATTTTAAGCTATATAACAATATATTCCAAGAAAACGCGATCCAATTCTCTCGCTTTATTACGTAATAAATCTGATCTATATGTATACATGCATAACACGTATATATATACATATAAATAAGGTTTCTCGTATTACATGTAAATTCTACTTATACGTGCTTTGATACGCAACGATGATACTCGAACTACTTCGAACTTTCACGATCAAATTCGTTACCTGAATATTAATCAAGATTTCTTTTCTTTTTTTTTTTAAAGTTATATTTTACATGTCTTTACGAAAGCGACACGGTTATTATTAATATAGGAATAATTAATATATAAAGAAACTTAATTAAAATATCAAAATTAGTTTTATCGCATAACTTTTGTGTTAGGAATCGATATTGACTTAATCAAAAATTGCATACGTAACAATTGTAAATAAAAGGTCAATTAAAGTAAGATTCATTAAATTAAATGGTAGGAAAATTTCCATTGAATGTAAAACAATTTACCAAGATTTCTTATACGATGTCATTGATAAACGATCATTTAACCCGATTTTGTCGTTGACCCGACTAATATTCCTTTTGTTAATGGATCGTTTACGGGTTCGAAATGAATATTTTTATTCTATTTTTTTCTTCCTTCAGAAACAAAAAAGAGAACCATTACTTACGTAAGTATTACGTAGTCGCTTTCGCGCGAATAATTAATTTTCTTTCTAAACTAATTGTAAGAAATTAAACATAAAAAAAAATAATCAGTGACGCACCACACAAATCGTTCGCGTATCGATGCATGAATTTTAGGATTTTCAGCTAACATTTGTTTAATTGTGTCACGTATCGCTATCTTATTTGTTATATGTACGAAGGATGGGAAGCATCGTACGAGAGAATTTTAAATTAGATTTCACGTTTACGATTTTAAATAAAAAAAAAAGACAAAAAATGTTTTATACACGTCTTTATATATAAAACTCTATTCAGTATTATAATTATATGATATTTATTTTTCATTAATTACCATTAACGATTATGATCAAATTCTTTGAACAACTAAAACACAAAAAATTGCAAACGTTTAATCATTAAAGATACGATCTCTCTCTCTCTCTCGTGCGTATTATATTCGTCGTACTTATCTCTTTTATGCGTTAATAAGTACATGTGCTTACTACACTCATATCAAATGGCTCGAGAATAATATCGAGTTAGGATCCCTGGTTTAATAACAGACGGAACAAATTGATTTGTGCGAATGCATACAAATCAAATCACATTTAACATGCACACATTCAGAGAGAGAAGAATATGAAGAATGATTGAAAGGGTATATCTCTTAGAAAAAACGGTGATAGATTTAAATGAATTATCAAAATTATTAATACTTTGATAAATAAAATTAATAATTACAGATGGATACTGCAATCAGAATATTCGCATAACCGTTTTCGAGAAGAGACACTGACAAATCGAATGAAAATTATGTATGTAATATGGATAATGATGGATAAATGGGATGTGTGAACGAGTAAAAGAGAGAACGTATGCGTGCGCGTGTCCGTGTGCACATGCACGCGCGCGCGCGCGCGCGCCGCCACGTGTGTTGTGTATATATGATGATATAATTAATTGTAAAAAGGTGAAATTTATTATTTATCTGTTTAACGTGCGCGCGTGCGCGCGCGCGCGTGCAAATACACACACACACATGTGTACACACTACTGATGCATACGTATTATTCCTTTTCCTTTATTTTTTATTCATTGATGTGAATTTTGATCGTTGCTTGGCTGGCCTCTTGTTGAAAAAGGTTCAAGACCGACGGAGAAGCCCAAATCAGCGTGTCCAAAGTCGTTTCAACACGGTCCCAACAGGATTCAGATGAGGAACTCACCGTGAACGTCCTGCCGCCCTGGCCCAGTTTTAGGCAATTTCATTTCTTACGTATTTATTTCTTCTCCATTCTTTTTTCCGTCCATCTTTTTGCTACTTATTACGTATATAATATATAGTGTATATATATATATATATATTTATATATACACTATCTTTTATTATAATTATTATTATTATTATTATTGTCGTTATAACATTATTATTTGAATTTAACTTTATTATTATTCATTTCCATCGTTAGTTATTATTATTACTATTGTTATTCTTATTGTTATTATTTTTATTTTTATTACTAATTATTATTGTTATTATTGTTTTTTTTTTCTCTCTATTTTATATATATATACATATACATTATATTATTATTCCTAATAATATATTGGACTGCGATTATTAATATATATATATAATTTCGCCCGTGTAAATATGATATTATATATCTACTCTAGATGAAATGATTCATACAATCGTAAGTCATTAAACATACACTTTCACGCATCCAAACACAAACTATATATATATGTATGTATATATATATATATATATATATATATACATATGCATATATTTGTAAGTTTGTCGCACGGCTAACTCGCTCGTGATAATTTATATGAACATCGTATAATATTTCGTCTTAATCTTCGCGTTATTTAAATTTATTTTATAAAAATTAAAATAATTTGCGCAATATTATTAAAAAAAGATTAAGATTACGTCGTTGATACGATGTTACATAAACGAATTACTAAACGCTGCTTATATTATACTTATATCATTCGCAGCGAGTTTTGCTCAAACTCGAAATGGTACGGGGCGTTATTTAAATAAATAAACAACCAACAACGACTGCAACAAAATGATGATAGTTAAAACTTATGTATGCGTGAGTGTGTGTGTATATATTTTCGTCTAACGTACGTACCTCTTCGAGATGGTAGCCACGTGTTTCACTTCATTCATATATTATATTATAATCTTTATCATTTTAAACGATCACTGCAATTTTGACGAATGCTAGAGTGCTGTAAAATATATGCCTTTAGGAGGTCATGCGCATCTTTTATTCACCATATAATATATACGGTATGTGTTCTTACGTATTTGCGATACGTACGAATACACTTTTGTACACACTAATATTATTTAACATTCGAAGGGGGAAATTTTGAACAATCAATTTCTAGAATTTAGTATTTTATTTCACTTCGATTAAATAATATTTTGTTAAATTCATTTATTGTTTGTTTGTACGCATTCTGATTAAATATACGATCTAATTTATTATTAATAATAATTAAAAACGAAGTGAAGGAAGTACCGAATTCGTAATAAGTCTCGAGCATCCGATCCTTTTCGATTGATTTAACGCAATTAACGCAGGATGCATGTGACTAACACACACTCTAGGATTCAAATTTCTGTCACCTATATATATATATATATATATATTTAATATTTTTGAATAATTAATTAATTAATTAATTATTATTATTATTATTATTATTATTATTATTATTATTATTATTATCGTAAGGCCGCTCGAGAAATTATTGAGAATGCCGGCTTTTCATAATTAAAGCGAGAGACCAAAATAGAAAATAACAGAAATATAATTTATCTCTCTTGTAATATTAAAATTTCACCTGCGCTGCATGATTACATTTTAAAAATTTTTCTCAAATAATTACCGAACGTGAGAGGTATATATATACACACACACACACACACACACACACTGTATAAAAAGGGCTATCACGATGTCACTTATGGATTATTCATGCTTTTTTATATCTCTTTTAAATGCACACGATGCTTGCAGGCGCTCTGGCAATATACCTATATATTATATATATATATACATAATCGCTAAGTTTCTCAAAGTCATTCTCAAATTTTTTCAAGCGGCATGTTATATACTATCTCATTATTATTATTATTATTATTATTATTATTATTATTACGACATTATATATCGTTACGTCGGTGAACGTTGAAATAAAAATTGATATATTCGTTTAAAAATCGTACAATCTCAAATTAATAAATTATAATCGTCGATGACAATTTGCAAATTTTGATTAACAAAAATTTCGGATAAGTAATATTTGTAAACAATATTTTAATCGCGTTCACCGAGGTCGCTCGTTTTCCCGTATGTTTTTTATTATCGTCATTTTTGTCACTACCGACGATATACTATTTTTGATATTTGAATCCCGTAGGCACACCAAAGTAGGTTGCTCGTGAACACCGCTGGAGCTGTTTCCCCCTTTTCTAGCCTAAGTAGAACGATCTCGCATTTGCTGCAAGAACCAGTTTCTTGAATCCGTGCAAAAAAGTTCCCTCGCCCCCGCCCAACCCCCCACCCCCTTGCCCCGCCACGCCCCGCCCGCCCTCTACAAACCCCTTCAAATTAATTGACTGCCAATTGATGATTGACGATGCATTGCAAAAAAAAAAGAAAGAAAGAAAGAAAGAAAGAAAGAGAGAGAGGGTGAATAAAAATACAAACGTGTATTTTTGCTAACACGAATGAAACTAAATTAACTTCCATCCTCTTATAATTGTACACTGTCTTTTGATCCCCCCGATTATTGCCTAGATGAACCAGCCTTTATACGTATCCTGTATATATATATACAATATAATTATACATAATATATATACACCTTTTTGTGTAAGCTCCAAAATAGGAGCATCAAATTGGAAACGAGGATTCTTATCGTCTCGATTTTGTTTTACACAGGTTTCGTAGAGAGAGACATACGGCAGACGTTGAAAAAGGGGACAGTAAGGATGGGAAAGATGGCGAATCATCGCATTCGAGAAAACCGTCCACCGATGAGAATGTCGCTGCCAAACCTCGAACTGGCAAATGGGGAAGATTGTTAGGTATGATCATTTAAAATGTTCATTTATTTATTTATTTATTCGACATTCTATTCTAAGTAATATATTTTTTCGTCGGACAGGTAGTTCCAGTTTGGATTCCGGTAGTGAAACAGGTACGGTTGGGGATACTTTCAAGAGATCATTAAGTGCACGAGACTCACGTCCAAGTTCTAGTACCGGGACGAACAAGATCTTTCCAAAATTCGGGAAGTTAGGTGGTACGATAGAAGAAACAGGTGGAGGAGACAATGCTGATAAGGATGGACAACAACAACAACAACAGCAACAACAACAACAACAACAACAACAAGCTCAGAATCTTTCGGTAGACTCGAAACAATTGCAGCTTCGACGTTTGGAAAGTTACGATGGTGGTTTGATATCGACTCAGCCCAGTCACGATCGTGAAATACTTGCGGCAGTATTGGAAGTTAAGGTTGATTTAAAGCTGGAAGTGCAAAGGGTTAATCAAAGGCTCGCTAAGATGGAAGACATGCTTCAGACTTTGTTAAGTCGAGTTCCATTTGCTGGAACTCCTCCGAGTGGTACAGGCATTTCTCAACAACAACAGCAGCAACAACAACAACAACAGCAACAACAACAACAGCAACAGCAACAGCAAAGACCCTCGAATTTTCCATCGAGTAGTAGTTCAACTCAGAATCAATTGTCTTGCCAAATGCAAGTGAATCAACAGCAAGGTACTCCTCAAGGTATACAAACGTCTGAACAGAAGGCGTCTACGAGTACTAGTGCTACAACGCCTAGCGAAGGCTATAGAGAACAACAGCAAATACAACAGCAGCAGCCTATAGAACGTAGTTCAAAGAGCCAAGAACATCATCACCATCATCACCACCATCATCAACAGCCAAAAGATTCGGATAGACTGTCGGGTAGTACCGAATACAAAACTTCCTCGAGAGAAGTTAGCAAAGAACTTCTCGAAAGACTTACCCAAGCATCAACCTCAAGAGGTGACGATTCTAGTGCACTTGGACCGCTCATTTTAAGAAAACGAAGAAGTAAATCGCGTAACAAGGGTGCAGCGCCTCTCGCACCTTTAGCAACCCAACCGGTTAGTCCCTCGGATGCTACGGAAACTACACAAATGTTAGAATGTACCGACGATCGCGAGGCTAGCAGTGCCAGTGCTGAAAGAACTGAGAGGACCGAAAGGACCGACAGGTCCGAACGAAAAAGGCCACCACCCAGGCCTAGAGAATATTATTGAAAGTTCTTCCGATCTCTAATCCTAATTCATCCTAATCCTAATCCTTCATCTTTCCTATTCTACCTTCTTCTCTTCCTTTCGTAATTCTCGATCTGGGTGGAATGGTTCTTCTGTTAAAATTAAAACTAATTAATCCTTCGCGATAATAATAATAATAATAATAATATTAATAATAATAATAATAATAATAATAATATTAATAATAATAATAATAATAATAATAATAAAAAGAAATAAAAGAGAAAACACACACTCCCTTCTTTCTAATAAGTAACGATAGAATCCAGGGGAGAGGAGGGAGGGGGGACTTATCAATTAGGCCAATAAAGTTAGCCTAATTTACCCCTAATTCTCGGACTACGTTTCGCGATGATCTAAATACAATTAAACGTTAAAATATCATCTATACCTTTTTCAAGGACCCGTTAAATATTTTCGCTAAATTGCTTCGCGAAGTGACATTCATCATTAAAGCGTGTTACACTTTGAACGAAATAATCGTTTATTTCGAATTGAAAAAAAGAAAAGAGAAAAAGATTTAAAAAAAAAAAAAAGAAAGAAGCAGAAAAGAAAATGGGGGACACGCGATAAAAAAAATATTATTATTATTATATTATATATATATATAAAAGTAAAATATATAAACTATAAAGGAAAGAAAAAAAAAGGTATATAATATGGTTTGAAAAAAGAGATTATTAATTATGATGACTCGATATTGATTATTATCTCAATTTCGCGCGTGGATCTTTTTAAATCAGTTAATGAGTTACGTGTGATCAAGATGGAAGAAAGGATGGAAGGATGGAAACAAGGAAGGAAGGAAGGAAGGAAGGAAGGAAGGAAGGAAGGATCCATTAATGAATTATCCAACTTTGCGACGGCTTCTTCGAGAGACATCGAAAAATTATTCCGAGTTTTATTATCCACGTTTATTATTATACGAGCGATGTGCATCGTAGCTTTACACGCATTTGACGGCGGATCTATTCGCGAGCCATAGATCTCTTCGTTAATGATTCTCGAAATATATATTCTATCGAATCAGATGCATTATTTTCCTTTTTTTCTTTTTTTTTTTGTTTCCCATTAGATTCCTTATTTATATGATTTTGAATATGAAATAAAAATAAATCAAATGTTATACCGTGTGTGTTGTGTGTGTGTGTGTGTGTGTGTTAAGAATTATAATGAGTTTCGATTGTAATTTTCTAAATTTCTCGTCGTCGACATCGTTTGGGATAATCAAATTTTGTATAGATTGTTTTTCTTCTTTTTTTTTTTTTTAGAGAGAGAGATATTAATTGATTCATTACCACCCCATTCCCTACCCCCACGCGTTTAGGAACTATTTCCAGTTGAATTTGTACTCATATAATTAAATACGAATAATCGATATTTGAAAAAAAAAAAAGAAAAAAAGAAAAATAATGCATCTAAAAAGTTCGTTTTATATATTTACGAGAGATCACACACGAGCACAACCATAGAATGTAAGCGTTTGCTTTGATACCACCGATTAATCCGCCGACGTTCATAGGCCGCATTTCTATTTAAAACTTTTAAACGAAAGAAAAATAGGAGAGATTATCTTCGAGAATCGAAACGCTTGCTACGAGATTTGATCATCGTCGTTAAAATAAATGTTTAACGACGGGCGAATGATCGACGTGCTAATCATTTTGAGATAAAGAGAAGAGAATAAAAGAAAAATATAATATTAATATAATCAATGAAAAAAAAAAATAAAAATATATAATTATAATAAAAAGCACGTCGTATTTCGCGAGGAAGCCAAACAGCAATATTAGGTGTATATATCTTGTAATATATAAATGATATTTATTTCGCGCGTACTTGTGTGGATTCACGTTCGTACACGTATATATATATATATAT